GTTTGCAGAAAGCACAGTATTGAGACCAAGCTCTTAAGTTTTCAAATTCCATTTCGTAGCATTGTTTTTTTTATTACATCCCATGAAAGCTTTAACATGTGTAAGTTGTTAAAGGGGAAATTTTACGACAACTCACTGGAAAGCAAAGTGGCATTACAAAGATCAGTCAGATTTAGTAACTAAATGTACATAAAGTAACATGTAATGACTCATTTTTGACAAAGAGATCTAACATTTTAAGTCCTTGATTTCTAGTCCTACTTTTCTAGGATCTGATTTCACTTACATAGAGCTGGTGTTTCAGAATTATAAACAATTTAAAAAACTATTGGTCTAATTTTCAGTTTAAGGAAACACCATAATGTAACTGTAAACTGCAAAAGAAACCCACCCCAAAAATGATGTGTATTTGTATACATTCATATCTTATTACATATCAATTTAATTCAAGGTTGAAAATTAATGTCGCACTGAGATTATGATTAATGTTGAATTGAGAATTTTTATTACATTCAGGTAATAATTAACATTAATATTTTTATTTCCCACAGTGCTCCTGTAGCTGCTGACATGACTCTTCATTGAAAGCCATCAGAACCCCCCAACCCCCAACCCCCCACCCCCATCCCCTAGCACACACAGTAAACATCCTCCAGGGAACACAGTTAATCAGGTCAGCCAAAGGGATCATAACAACAATCGTAAGTAAATTTCACGGGACGTTTCAACTCCGCCATCCCTCCCGGTTTCTCCCAACAGCGCTGCTTCAAAGCAGCTTCAAAGGGGTTTTGTTTTTGGCTACATCCGGCTTGCGTTCATGCATTCAGCCGCAGATGGCCACAAAAATAAATAACAATGTTAACTAATCCCTCCCACGTCCACGGCTTCCTTCCTGTCCGTCCTCTCACACTTTCCCCTCCTGGATGTAGTTTTCCCCCCATCACATTCATTTCCGTAAGAAATGCCTTTGTTTCCTTCTAAGGTCTTGTGCTCCAACAGACGCCGAAGGTCTACGTCTATCATCTATAATCATGTATGTTAGGTGTTCACGCTTCATTTCATTATATTATTGTCATTTAGCAGACGCTCTTATCCAGAGCAACTTACATAGGTTACAGATTTATATTACCCATTTATACAGCTGGGTATTTACTGAGGCAACTCTGGGTTAAGTGCCTTGCCCAAGGGTACAGCAGCAGTGCCCGAGTGGGGAATTGAACCGTAAACCTTTTGGTAACGAGTCCTGCACCTAACCACGATGCTGCACCACTACCCCCCACTGCCACTTCTCATGGGCCTGTGCCATATTGTAATGAATTTTCAATTTTTTAGTTTAATGTTCCTTCCTTCTTTTTTACCCCAACTTTCCCCCCAGATTTGATTAATTACTCCACACACCACTGTGTCTCCTGTGCCTGTGTAGGAAGCTTTGAGCTCAGGCACCTGAACTCCTCCGACACACTGGACAGAAATGCCAACACCTGTCTTACACGCTGCAAGCCACACACTGAACTACAGGAGAGGCAGCCCTTAATGGAAGAGCAGTGCACCTCTAACTGACCACGACCTAATAATTTATAGGCCCATGGAGAGCCACTGGGAGGCTCTGACCCAGCGGTGTCTCAGGGAACCCTCAAACCCACACTGATCTCAGCTGGAGGGAGACAATTGTGCTCACTGCATATTTCTGTATTCTATACTGCATTTAACATATATTTTAAGATTCAACATGCAGAGTACATAACTAGATGTTTACCCACGTATCATGTCTGATTTTTTATTTTGCCTCTAAAAATATGTTTTGTTGGATTTGACTCTGCGAAGAGCACTCATTTCTGCCAGTCTCGGATTATACCCTTTGTATGGTGTCTTTTTTTTTTTGCTTCATTCAGCTCTATACTTTGAGGCCCAAAACTCCGCCACAAATGTACCTTTAGAAAACATGCCATCACAGTTATTCCACATTGCGTGGTCAAGCCAGGAAGGACCGATCATCGCTGCAGAGTGATTCTCCCGGGCCTGATGCAATTACACCCCCGCCTGTTTCTGGTCAAAATCAGGAAACTTAACAGACAGCATTAATTGCTGAATTCACAACTGATTAATCAACCAAATGATGAGTTGACGTCATGGCATGGCAGCAAATATACATCTATCACAGGTCAAAATCATGGACTTAACTGACAATTTTGTCATTTGCAGGTGATTGTAAACTTGGCTAGGAGTAACTTATTTTTTCTGAGAGTGAATCTACCTGTTTTGAAAACAGGAAAGAAAAAGAACATACCTACACCAGCGTAATTTCATGGATTTAAGTGAATGATCTCTATTGCAAGGCATCTTGCAAACACCTCAGAAAAAGTCATGCATAAACAATAGATTCTGATGGATAAACACACTTCACAAGATTTCCGTCATATGCTCTCAGCTGAGAACTGTTTTCACCATCACACATTTAAAATTCTAACATTATTGATTCTATTTTCAGTTGAACCTATGGCTCATGTGCCCTTTATTTTGACTAACAAATACTTGTGTTACTTTTTCCTCCAATAAAACCAGCTGTTTAATCAATTTTAATTTTGAACTGAACTTGGTGAACAACGATCTTCATGAACAACAAAAATAACTTGTATTTAACCGCAAAGCAAAGTTATGGAGATATGTTGATTGAATCCCTCCCTATGTTTTTGGCTAAGCCTTCCTAAAGAAGGCTTGTGATGATCACAGCTGTCACAGATGAGTTGTGATGGGGGGCTTTAGTTCGGGAGATCTGTTACAGGGGACAGGGGTGAGGCAATCTGAGATGGCCTGGGGGGGGGGGGTGACTGGACTCTGAGCGGAAAGATGGGGGGGATCGGAGGTGGGAGGGGAAATGGGGGTGTCAGAGATAAAAATGCGTCATCAGGCTGGATGGAGGTAAAAATGGGGTCATTCCCATGTGAAGCGGGCCCACTCTGGCACAACCCTCTCTGATTTTCTCATGCACACTGACACTTTCATTTCTAACGTACAGATCAACATAGACATAAAGAGACAATGGGGTTTACCCAGGTTCACAAGATATTGTGCTTTTTCATTTACAAAAGATCTAGTCGCAACCTTGGTATAATATGGTACATCTACTGGCCTTAATCATTTATTGATATTAGAGAAGAAATGAATTATGATTATGAGTATTTTAAAAGTACCAACTTGTATTTTGTTAAAATTACTCTATTGCATGAGTGTAGGAATTTCAGTGTGGGATCTCTTGCAGTTTCAGAGATATTAGCCATATTATATTGCCCACTGTGGGCACCAACTTGAAAGGGCCTTGTCAAAGTCAGTTCCATTTCTCACGGAAGAGTTAAAGTGTAAACTGATAGAGGGAGGAAAGATACTGTAATCTAATCTAATTTAATCTAAGGCATTAGCAGGATTACACTGACCAGACGTGACTTTATCCCTGAAGGATCCCTTGTTCGCCGTGATCTTCTTGCTTCGATTGGGTTGTCCCTGTCTGAGATGGAATGCAAAAACTGCAAGGCTCAGTGGTGCCCACCCATATCACATGGCTGAATTTCACCAAGACAATTCAGCTAATTGACCCATTGTTCATTTTCATGGCGTGGGAATAAAACGGCCAACTTGCATTAAGATGTGAATAATTGAGATATGTGATGTCTATAAAAACTGATCATTACCACCATATGGGTCATTAAACCATTCATTTAAAAAATCAAATATACAACATGCTAAATATACACCATATATAAAACACAATTGATGATTTGTTGTATTTATCTTGCATCTTGTAAATATTATGCATCTTCACACTGATCTAGCCATGCCCACCCCAGGCCAGACCACCTGGTCCCTGCAGGGGGGCCTAAATTAACAGGGTGCTGCCTCCCCAAAGCAGTGGTACAATCCAATTTCCCCCTTAAGGTAACCCCGCACCAGAAGAGGAAGGAACAAAGGCCAAGGTGTCCCTAAATCCTCTTGGAGAACAGGAGAATCACCAAGGTGACGGACAGGAGTCAGGCAGCGCTTGGTGAAGATGTGGGACCTTTCTGCCTCTAGAAACTGATCCTGGATCAGAATGAAATTTTTATACCACATAGCTGGGGTTAGGTACAGGGGTGGGCAATCTGATTTTAGATCTGTTGCCAAGAGCAGGGAGTAATCAGAGCCATGATGAACGAGAGAGGAGGGATGGGGAAAAGGGAGATGAGGACAATGGCGACAGGAGAGCAGGGAGAGTTCTCACGATGATGAAGATGATGAAGATGAAGACCGTGGAGCTGGATCATTGTCAATGAGACAGACTGACAGCAGCTGAGAATGGCTTGGCTGGAAGAGGAAAATCACCTGAGAGAAGGAGAAGAAGCTGGAAAGAGATGGAAGCATGGGTTCCGCCCTCTTCTGCAGGAGGAGGAGTATAATGTGGAGAAGGACTTAATGGCTGTGTTTGCTGGACCACTGATGGACAGGGGTGAAGACAAAATGTCTGTCTCCCTGGTGCCACAGCTCAAGAGGAGTCTGTTCCCCACTGAAACACATGTTCCAGTCCTGGAAAATGTACTTTCCGGACTTTCCAGAGGCAGAGCACAGCTCCTGTGGCATGCTAGATGGAATTACTGTAACTACGGGCCTTTATTTCTGTGAGAAGTTCTACTGAAAAGGGGTGCAGACAGGTGCTCCTCTCCACAATCATATCACACTCAAGTAAGCTAATGTAGAAAGATTAGGATGAAATATTTCACTGGCTTACCATCCATGAATGGTGGTGTTCGCTCTGCACCAAACTAACCAATCACCAAAGGTGCATCAGTTAATTGGAGAAGGAACGCCTCTCCCAACAGGGTCTGAATTCCAGTCACATTACATCAAATTACATTATTGTCCTTTAGCAGATGCTCTTATACAGAGAAACTTACATATGTAACAATTTTATCCATTTATACAGCTGAATATTTACTGGGGAAATTGTGGGTCAAGAATCTTGCTGAAGGGTACAGCAGCAGCAGGGAATTGAACCTGCAACCTTGCAGTTACGAGCCCTACTCCTTACCAGTATGCCAAACTGCTGCCCCTTGTCAAGTCATGTGCCCAACCAGGGTCCCCTCAGTGTCATTTATGCCTGAGAGGGCATTTCTCACAGAGGTGCTCCTCTAACTGCCTCTGCACCCCGACCCCGACACCTGTGTGACGGTGGGCCTGGTGTTAGGCACTGAGAAGCAGGCTGGAACTGCACCGGGAGCACTCACTGAGGCTTCATGAGGCTTCATGAACTTCATAAGCAAAAACATGCTGTCAGAGGAGCCAATCAAATGACCTTGCCCCCCCTCAAAAAACCACTGCTAGGGGTGCCAGTCAGAAAGCCACTGATCCAACAGTTTAGAGGTCCATGAGGCCTCACCCTCCTGTTTCTGGTGATGCCCACCGCAACAGCAAAGCTGGCCATTTTGAAAAGCGGGGAATGCCATCACGAGGGAACACTGGGAGCTCCTGCCAAAAAGGCTGCACCCAGCTGCCAAGGACAGGGGGAGGGGAGGAGGAAGAGAGGCGCACTCTCAGTCCAGAGAGAGCAGGATTCACCACCCTGAGCCTGGACCTCTGTGCTTTGGCTGACATAGAGTAACTGGTAGACTACCAGCACTACTACAATACATTACATTATTGTCATTTAGCTGACACTCTTATCCAGAGCAACTTACAATTAATTTATTTTACATGTTATCCATTTATAAAGTTGGATATTTACCGAGGCAGTTCTAGGCTAAGTACCTTGCCCGAGGGTACAGAAACAGTGCCCCAGCAAGGAATCGAACCAGCAACCTTTTGGTTACAAGCCCTGTTCCTTACCACTGTGTTACACTGCCGTCCAATACCTGGACCAGGTGATCCGAGAGTGGAGTCCCACAGTCATACCCCCTTTCGAGAACGGTAATGGACATTATCCCAATGATAACAATAACATGTTTATGATATGTTCTTAGATAAATAATTTGGACCATTGACTCTGATCTGGCCCAGCAGAAGCTGAGGGAGACAAAAAAGACCAGCAGGTGATGACAGACGCAAAACGGCCTTGAATTTGTAATTGAGAGCTGAACAGCCAAACCGCTGCGTGCCCTGTGTTTGCTGCAAAATACTCTAAATAAACCGCTTTGCAACATGTCCAAACGGGACACCATATCAAAACTGAAGCTGTTCTGTAATTAGACTCTAATTATGTGTCTTACAATCAAGGAGGCTGGCAATGGTCCTCTCTCAGTTGGCCGGTTCCTTCTCCAAATTCATTAAAAGTTGCACTGTGCGTCTACTGTGTGCCTCCACGTATGCGCACGGTGTACATAACCAGCACACGGGGGTCAATAACGTCCTTTCTGCCTGCAGCTGAACCGTGGGCGCGTTCGCACCGCATAAGCACCTCCAAACACCCGGCAGGTGACTTAAAAGGCACTTCTTATTTTGATATTCAGCAATAATATTAATCTAGAGAAATCAAACATTTTTGAGGAGAGTTAAAAAAGAAGTCCTGCGCGGGATTTCAGCCGCTGAATAAAGGGGTCGTTTATACCTCTCCTTACGCGTGGGGGGAGATGGAGGGAGAGAGGTTGGGGGGAGAGAGGACGGGAGTGGGGAGGAGGTAGCGAATTAAGAGAGGTGTTAAAACGAGTCTGACAAGAGTGAAGACGCAGTAGGGAAGAGAGAACGAGAAGGGAAACGGGCTGACCAGGGTTCAGGAAGCTACCGAAAGAGAACAATGATGGCTTTATTTCACATCGCTATTATTAAAAATTCATCTGGAATGTTTAGGGTTACTTTTAATTTAGAATTAGCTGAAGGCGTACCTGAAATGTTTAGACCCGAAAGGAAATCTGAAAAACCGAAAAGAGATACACGGGTTATTCTTACCATATCAGAGCAAGCTACGAGTTGCTCTCCTGAGCTGAAACTGTATTCGCGCCGTGGGTACACTCAAGAAATTCACACGCACAAATCAATCGGCCCTCACACTCGGTTGAAAACCTGAGACTTCGGCCGGTCTGTACAGGAGAGGCGCACGTTAAACAGAGAGGTTATTGTGCGCACTCCCCCAAACGGTTGCAATTTGAACAACAGGCGCACCTTTCACAATACGGCTATGTTTAAACTCCACTCCAAAATAGGATGGTGGCCTCACGTTTTCCTTCCGACTCAAATCTCGGCCAGTCACCAATAATTATTTAAACAAATCACACCTAAAGAATGTCTCTGGCTGCTTATACATCCACGTGAAAACAGACAGACCTTCAGTTCATTTTTCAAACGGTAAACATTTCTTGACAGCAGACTTATGATGTAAAGTGTTAGTTCAATAAAGTAACTGGAATTTTGAATAAAAACGTCACTGGCATAACGAGGAGGAAATGGTGGACAATTAGGAAGGTCCGCACTCAGAATAAAAATAAACTAAGATTTCTTTTTACATATTTTAGTATCCAGAGAAATAAAACAACATGAAAGAGGTTTGTTCAGTTTTAGCCATAGATCGTCTCTATATTTTGTCATTTTCCACGCCAACAGAGACAATTTCAAGTCCGGTCTAACGCCATACTTAAAAGCACAGAGTACTGACAAGACCAACGAACAAAAACGCAATAACCTGAGTTTCGATCTATTTCTAAGCACTCTTAAGGCCAAAGTATTGCACGCAGTGCTACCGGATACTCATTTGTCAGAGTGAGTTTTTTTTTGGTTGATTAAAGCAGGCTCAGGTTTCGTTCCTCGTGTATTCGGCCTGAATTTAATACTGAATAAGTACACGATTAATATAACTGCTTTCATCCGCTTAATCCACAAATCTAACGATTTATCCATTCATACATGAAGGGTTCAACGGCACTAGGTGAAAGCTTTCACTCAGCAATGTTGGGTTCAACTCTAAAACGATTCGCTCGCGAACATTATTTTTAAATGACAAAATCTTATCTTATCCAGATTTTTTTCATAGGGCACTCGTTTAAAAGATAGTATGCTGCCAGAGACAGATCATACTTAAAACGAAAGTTACATAATTACTGATTCTAAATAAGTGCCCCCAAATCTTTCAGCTAAGTTATGCATATCCCTTTAAATCTGTTTTATAATTTAGAGAAAAGTATCGTCTTTTATGGATGGCTATTCGATCCACGAGTCCGTGAGAGGGAGGAGAAAGGGGCGGGGTGTCGAGAGAGAAAATAACACATTAATACAGACACATTGCCGTACATTAACACAACGTAGAGAGGGAAGGAGGGACAACCTACAGTACAGTAAACCCTCTCAGCGCGCAGTGAGATCAGGGTATATTGCGGCTCGGGGCGACGGGCGTGTCAGTGCTCCCTCTGGTGGCTACGCAACAAAACTACAGCGCCACTGGTCACTCGGGGCCCGGGGGTCCTGCTGGACTGAGGACCATACCATCCCATCACCTGGCACAGGGGACCCAGGAGGCCATTCGGGATATACCATTCACTGGACAACAGGCTTTCTTTTCTCACTCCGAGGAAACCGTTTACCAATACGTGATATAAACATTTCTATTTTGTCGACAAATTTTTCATAGCTAAAAAGCTACATTTTATAATCTCTAACTTTAAAATAAGTATCCAATTCTCGTCCTTAAAAAATATTTTAAGACAAGGAGTTCAGTATATCTGCAGAACATTTTTTCCCCCAAATTTCAGTGATTTGGCACATTTTCAGACAATTTACATGGCATTCAAAATCAACTACACTCAACTCCAGTTAAAAGGACCAGATCATCTCAATGCTGTCTCACCAGCTGGACTTCACAAGACATGTAAGTTTTGAAATTACAGTATTCAGTAGAAGCTAAACTGAAATACCTAAAGCAAAACAACCTCCACAGAAACCCCCTCCCACACACATGACCCACAGAAAAGTCAAACACAGCGACTACTGTATTAAAACCTTTACTTTGACAAGATACAACAAACAGAAACAGTTTTAGATTTAATGACCAAAAGCCATAGTAATCATTCATATTCTCCTTGCTTACCCCAAAACACAAAATAGTCTATTATTTCCACAGTTATGTCGGGAGTTGGAAATACAAAGAACAGGAAAAAATAAACGGGGGAATGAAGATGACACGAGAGAATGTGTGTGTATGTGCATGTGTGCGTTTGCTTTAAACTTCCGAATAAACTTAAGCTGAAATGAACAGTGAAAGGAAGGAGTCAGACGCAGACAATGAAGCGGCTTTTCTCATGGGGGTCACAGACGGGAATCTCTCTTTCTAATAATGGCCCATTTCCTCTCCTTTCATACATTTACATCTTTTTTTTTTTTCTTTTCTCCTTTTTAAAGTATTCAGATGGAGGCCTGGGTCTGGAAGAGCTGACAGTGCTTCCAAACAGAGTGTAGCTGTCCCCTGCAGTTCCACTGCCTCTCCCCACAGGCCCGTGTCCTCCCGCAGAGGTTGGCTGAAGTCTCAGCTTTAACCATCGCTCTGTCCATTAGCCCAGCTAGCATCCACCCCACAGCCCAGCTCAGCATGTGTTTGCAGGCTGTGTGTGTGTGTGTGTGTGTGTGTGTGTGTGTGTGTGTGTGTGTGTGTGTGTGTGTGTGTGTGAGAGAGAACCAGGCACACAGCTGACACTTATTCAAAAGGAAGCCGTGATTAAAGACGCAAAGACGGAGGGTTGGGTTTTCACGTGTCTGTCCATGACTCCGCTGCAGTGTGAATGTATGCCGGAGACATCTTTCGTCCACGTGTGGGTGGAGTCACCTGTGCACAAGTGCAGTCTGTGGACATCCACCTCTGAATGACAAACCAAGACGATGAGATACACACACACACCTTTAACCCACTATTCAGCCATCCGGCCCCAACAACTGCAATCAAAAAGTCTGAAAAGAGCTTTTAACTTCAAGGATGAGGGGAGGGGCCAGGGTGTTAAACATGTGATTGATCCAGCCAATCAGTGGACAGACCTTCTCTGTCAACTTCCTTTTCACATACTGTCATACCCTGGCCTCTAAACACTCATACCTACTGTGAAAAAGGTGTGTGCATTTTTAAACACGCACAAACA